ATACACACACACACACATACACACACATACACACACACGCACACTCATACATACACACACAAATACACACACACGCACACACATACATACACACACAAACACACACACACACACACACACACACACACACACACACACACATACTAACATAGAGAGAGAGATAGAGAGAGAGAAGGAGAGAGACAGAGAGATAGAGAGAGAGAGACAGAGAAATAAGAAGAGATCGCACTATTATCAAGTATACATCTCTCTCTTTCTTCGGGTATCTAATATAACACTCATATGCAGAGTCGAAAGAGCCCGGCTCTTAAATAATCTATTAATTGATCTAAATTGTTTCAAGACGACAGTAACACAAGTTTAGCAAAATGGCACGCTCACAGAACAGACGCAAATCACGATCCAGGTATCACAATTTTGAACCATATTACCGCAGTCAGAAACATAATAACTTCAGGCTCTTTGCACAGAGATGTAGATCTATACTTATTTTCTGCAGCCTCATCTCGCCGATTGGCGATGTCTACCATCTTGTTTCTTTGGATTTTCCCTAAAATATGATGGCAAATTGTTAAAGAAACGTCTTTGCAACAACCAAAAAAAAAAAAAAGAAAAGATTTTAAGAATAAAATAAAATACAATTAAACCATTTTAAAATAAACATAGCAATATCTAGTTTGGTTTGAACAATCAGACGACAGCGATAGATATCACCATGATTTATCCCTCTGAAATTGTGTATTTCAAAATATTAAGATTTTACCGCCGTCCAGGTGGGTATGTATTACGTGGGCAAGTGGATATTAGGAAAGAACGTAGGTAGAATAGGGGTGGGGGTGGAGGGTTTGCTAGCTAGAAGAATATAGCTGTTAGAAAGTAGGTGGGTAGGTAGGTTGGTAGGAAGGCAGACAGGCAGGCAGGCTGGGAGGTAGGCAGGTAGATAAGTAGGTCGGTATATAAGACAATCTCCCGAGAACGAATAAAACTGAACTGCCTTAATTCTTGATTAAAACAAAAAAGACCAAACAAAACAAAACGAAACAAGAACAACAACCCTTCCCCAAATCTCCAAAATCGGTTACAGCAGATACTGGTTGACCGGTTCTATTCTTAAGTACCGGTACTGCAAAGCTTTGAGCCAGCCCTCTTCCGTCCCCTTGGCGTTTCGTTCGGATGTCTTATCATCCCCAGCCACGTGACAAATTGCTCCAGGCCAAGGGTATCACGCAACTAAACTATATGACGCGTTACGGTCAGACAAAGAGGGATGCTTATCATTTTTCTTTATAGTAGAGGGTTTTACGGCGCTCGCAACTGCATAAAGGTCATATGAGCGCCAAGGGGTGGGTGTCAACAGAGAAGTCTTTACAGGGAATCAGACTTACTCTACTCACCTCTCTAGCTTCAACAGCACAAGGTCTGCTTCGACTATCAAGGCACCCCGGAAATAGCAGGTCAAAAGAGTGTGACAAACGTACAAAAGAAGTAGAGGGAAATGACGATGGTAAGGATTAGGAAAGAAAAAGCAGCAGTCCCCTGTTGTAGATCAGGCACAGCTATGAGCGTGACATGAATCAGCCCATTTACAATTCTCCTGGGCTTGAACGAGAAATGTCCCCCCTTTGGGAATGACCTAAAGACACTACAGTCAGTGGCTTTTCCTGGGGGGAAGAGGGATGCTTATTCAATTAAATGTAATTTATGCAAGGTCGATGAGAATTCTGCTTACAGGCATCTAGTGGTAGAGACTTAGTTTCTTCGGATGTACACATGCATTATCGCAAACCTGATTTAGCACAACATCTCCCCCGCCTCCCTCTCCCCGACACGCAGACACACCCATACACACACACACACACACACACACACACACACATACACACACACACAAGCACACACATGCACACACATGCACACACATGCACACACAATCCTTATCCCCCACACATATACACATACCCCAACGTCACACCCCCCCCACACACACACCCACTCACGTACACCATACACACACACACATACACACACACACACACACACACACACACACACACACATCCCAAGCTTACCCCACTCTGTGGGACAATCATAATAGAATTTCATAGCTCAGACCTTTCTTTACCCTTCAATGTTCACTTTTTGTCCTCGGTTTTCCTCTTCCATTCTTTTCTATTTAGACTCTGTTACAACCCTCCTAATTTTCCTTATCCTCTGCTCTCTTGGGCACCTCATCATAACCACCGCCCCCTCCCCGCTCCCCATGCAGCGACCTCCCTCTGTGTAATTGTAAATTCATCAATTTATGCAATCAGAACACGCCACCGTTCTACCAAACCCCTAAACATCTCCTACGCACTTGTATTCTAAATAATTAGTTCTCGGTCTTTTTTTTTTCTAGAGGGGAAGTTTGAGAAATT